GGCCTCCATGATGCGCCCCAAGAGGGTTCCTAGACGCAAGGCCCATTTCATTCGTACAACGTACAATTTTCACAAATTCGCATTCTGGGCTTTCCGATGCTCCCAGACGGCTCAAGAGGCCCCCAATACCGCCCCAAGACGGCCCACGAAGCCTCCAAGAGGGCACCTAGATAGCCCAAGAGGGCCCCAAGACGGCCCAACAGGCGTCCAAGACAGCCCAAGATGGCCCCGAAGACGGCCCCAAGAGCGATCCAGGAGCGTTCCAAGTGGCCTCCAAGAGAGCTCAATATGGTCCCAGACGGTCCAAGAGCGATCAAAGACACCGAAGATGACCTCCAGACGTCCCAAGATGCCCCCAAGAGGCCCCAAGAGGCATCCAAGATGCGTCCCAAGAGGGCCTCTAGACGCAAAAATTGGCCCGTTCCCTTCGTAAACTTACAATTTTCACAAATTCGCTTTTTGGGCTTTCCGACGCTCCCAGACGGCCGAAGAGGCCCCCAAGACCGCCCCAAGACGGTCCAAGACGCCTCCAAGAGGGCCCCAAGACAGCTCAAGAGGGCCCCAAGACGGCTCAAGAGGCGCCGAAGACGGCCCAAGAGAGCCCCGAAGACGGCCCCAAGAGCGCTCCAGGAGCGCTCCAAGTGGTTTCCAAGAGAGCTCAACATGGTCCCAGACGGTCCAAGAGCGATCAAAGACACCCGAGATGGCCTCCAGATGGCCCAAGACGCCCCCAAGAGGCCTCCAAGATACGTCCCAAGAGGGTCCCTAGACGCAAAAGTTTGCTCATTTCCTTCGTGAAACGTGAATTGTTCACAAATTCGCCCTGTGGGCTTTTCGACGCTCCAAGACGGCCCAAGAGGCCCCGAAGACCGCCCCAAGACGGCCCAAGAGGCCCCCAAGACGGCCCCACGACGACCCAAGATGGCCCCAAGACGGCCCAAGAGGTCCCCAAGACGGCCCAAGACGGCTCCAAGACGGCACCAAGAGGGGCCCAAGAGGGCAACCAAAAATTCAAAAATCTAGCTTTCCGCCCCCACGAGCCCCAGGGTGCCCCAAGAGTGCCCCAAGAGGCCGCCAGAGGCCCCCAAGAGGCCGCCAAGACGCCCCAAGGAGCCCCCAAAAGGCCCCCAGGAGGCCCCCAAAAGACCCCCAGACGCTTCCGTATTGCGAGCCGCGAAGCCAACTGCAGTGCACTCCGCGCATACAGCCTTGCTCTTCCTCGTGAAGTGCTCACTATCTTGCTCGGCGCTACTGTGCTGCTGCCGCGCGAACTGTTTCGTGCGCGCTGCGAACGTCAACAGCCTCTTCACCCGTTTCGATTCATCTGCCGCATCTTTCGCGGTGATGCCTCGCTGATCACAGCTTCCGCACACCATTCTTGCTCCTTTCGTCTTCCCGTGGTCCTCCACTTGGTTGCGGGTCGAAAGGCCGACCTCCCAGAAGGATACCCCGCACCCTGGTGCACATATCGCAAGGCGCTCGCAAAACACGCCCCAGACCACCAGCATCACGCAAACATTTGGACCCCCTACGTATCTGCCACCACCCGCGCGACACCGCACCCTCACACAAGACGCCGCTGGCCAGAAACTCCTGGCCTCGCAACACTCACAGAAGGGGTCGGCGGATGTGGCGTAAGCCTGTAGAATCGCCATCATCGGCATCATCGCCATCATTGCCATCATCATCAGCAGCATCAGCAGCATCAGCATCGTCATCATGATCATCGTCAGCATCATCATCAGCAGCAGTATCATCATCATTATCATCAGCACCATCAGCATCAGCAGCAGCAGCAGCAGCATTACCATCACCATCACCATCATCATCAGCACCACCACCATCATCATACTCCGCCCCAACGCGGCCTCGCTGCAATCAAAGAAAGCCTCGGGACGGCCGAGGTGTCACATGTGACGGCCATCTAGGCGTTGCTCCAAGCATCGACACATAAGAGATGGGGCAGGAGGAAGGAGGAGAAATGGAAGAAGGTGGGGCAGGAGTAACACGGAGAAGAAGGGGGCAGTAGGACTCCACGAGGCCGACGCCAAGGACGAGGAGAAACACACCGACACGACGCGAAGAGCGGAAGAGCGTGTCACGTGTTACGTCTCCCCCAAGCCTCGGGACACGAGGTGCCACACATTACGGCTTCCTATGCGCCCCACCCAGAGTGATAAGCTGGATACCTTTGGAACCCAGACGGACCCTTAGACGGACTGAGCATCCCGGGGAACTTGCCGGCGACCTCGGGCGTGATGTAGCCCATCGTGGCCAGCATGCTGATGCGGCCATGCTTGATCTCAGTAGAGCGGCGCCTCCTGAACTTCTCGGCATCGCCGTCCTTCGTGAAGCCGATGGGGTCCCAGAAGCCCAAGGGTGCCTGCACGCCCAGCTCGCTCTCGAAGGCGCGCAGCGGCGAGTCCGTGTAGCTGGCCCAGTCGCCCCAGGCACTGCCGGTCAGGCCGTCTTGATAGAACATGCCGATGATCGCCATCATCGCCAGCCTGCCGTTGGCGATCTCCGCGTTCAGCTTCTTCGTCTTCGCCTCGCCCTGGAAGCCAGAGAGCAGAGGCGGCTTCCAGCCCACGTCCCCCGGCGTCTTCTCGCCGAACGCCACGTACTTTCCCTTCTCTGTCGCGGAGCCGTTCACGCTCGCAGACCGCTCGCAGAACCAGCAGTAGGCAATCATCTGCAACCAACCCTCTTGAGGCACCTTGGACAGGGCGGCCAGGCCGTTCGGGACGTCTTCGAAGGCGATGCCTGACGCCGCCAGTGGCTCCCTCCCTCCCCCCCCCCACCTTCACCCCGCCTCTTCCCCCCCTCCCCCGGGAGGGGGAGAGGGAAGCGGGTTACAGGAGGTCCTAGTGGTACATCTGCCACCGCGCCCCCTGGCACGTTGAAGCGTGGTCGAATGCCAAGTGCCGTCTGGCAGGTTTTCCGTCAGTCTTCTCAAGTACCCCCACCCCCTCTCTTCATACACTGTCGTGTGTGCCGCCACCCCTCCCCTCCCGAGGCTTCCTGGGCGGCCCGACGCCTCCATAGCACTCCGCAAGGCTCTCTGGGGCTTCGAAGGCGCCTGGGGAAGGCCACCGAGGCCGCCAGAATAGCCGATTGCTACCTCTTGAGGCCCAGCAGCTCCCGAGAGGCGCCGAATAAATCCCAAGGTCTCCAAGAGGCCCCAGGACAACCCCAGCCCGCACTTCAAAAGGTGCCACATGCTACGGCCGTCTGGGCGTTTCTCCATGCGCCGCCACACACAACCCGTAGCGGAGCTCGAGAGGCAACCGTTACGGTGCTCTGAAGGCCGCGGCACGACAGGTGCATCATGTTACGGCCTTCCTCCGCCCCCCCCCTCCTCCTCCTCCGCCTCCTCCTCCTCCTCCTCCTCCTCCTCCTCCTCCTCCTCCTCCTCCTCCTCCTCCTCCTCGTCGTGATGATCACCACCGCCATCGTCGTCATCACCATCATCAATATCAGTACCGTATCGTCGACATAAGCATCATAGACATCATCAGCATCATCATCAGCATCATCACCATCACAATCATCACCATCACCACCACCACCACCACCACCATCATCATCATCATCATCATCATCATCATCATCATCATCATCATCATCATCATCATCATCATCATTACCAGAATCATCATCATCATCATCATCATCAAAATCATCATCATCATCATCATCATCATCATCATCATCATCGTCATCGTTATCGTCATCATCATCGCCATCATCATAATCGTCATCGCCGTCGTCGTCGTCGCCATCATCAACAGTATCACAAGCATCATCACCATCGACATCGTGACCCTCATCACGGGCATCATCACCACCACCATCACGGTCATCATCAGCATAAACATCGCAATCAGAAGCTAGATTGGCATCATTACCACCGCCACCAGCATCATCATCGTCATCATCATCACCACCCGCATCATCGTCGTCGTCGTCGTCATCATCATCATCATCATCATCATCGTCGTCGTCGTCATCATCATCATCATCATCATCATCATCATCATCATCATCATCATCATCATCATCATCATCATCTTCATCATCATCATCATCATCACCGCCACCATCATCATCATCATCATCATCATCATCATCATTTTCAGCATCAGCATCATCATCCTCATCATCCTCATCCTCAGCATCATCATCATCAGCAGGAGCAGCATCACCATCATCATCATCAGCATCATCATGACCACCATCATTATCAGCATCATCATCGTCGCCATCGTCATCGCCGTCGTCGTCGTCGTCATCATCAACATCATCACAAGCATCATCACCATCAACATCGTCACCATCATCACCACCACATCGCATCATCACCACTATCACCATCACAATCATCATCGGCATCACAATCATAATCATCATCAGCAGCAGCATCAATTTGTATCATCACCACCACCATCATCATCATCACAATCGTCATCATCATCATCAGCAGCAGCAGCATCATCATCTCCATCAGCATCAGAATCGTCATCATTATCGTCGTCATCATCATCAGAATCACATTCGTCATCATCATCAGCATCAACATCATCATGATCCTCATCATGATCATCATCAGAATCATCACCAGCATCATCATCGTCCTCATCATCGGCAGCACCACCATCATCATCACCATCATCGTCTTCATCCTCATCAACATCACAATCACCACCATTATCGTCATCATCGTCATCCTCATAATCATCAGCATCGTCATCATCACCATCATCATCAGACGCGTCATCATCATCGTCGTCATCAGCATCAGCAGCATCATATTCGTCATCATCATCAGCAGCATCATCAGCATCGTCATCGGCAGCACCATCATCATCACCATCATCACCATCAGCATCATCATCATGAGTATCATCATCATCTTCATCATCACCATCATCATCATCCTCATCCTCATCACCAGCAGGTGCAGCAGCATCTCCCTCATTATCCTACTCCGCTCCAGCGCGGCCTCGCAGCAGTCCAAGACGGACTCAGGACGGCCGAGGTGCCACATGTGACGGCCATCCAAGCGTCGCTCCAATCGTCGCCACACAGAGGATGGGGCAGGAGGAAGGATGCAGAACAGAGGAAGCTCGGGCAGGAAAAACGCGGAGGAAAAAGGAACAGCAGATCTTCAAGAGGCTGACGCCGGAGCCGAAGAGAGAAACGCCGAAACGACACGGATGAGCGGAAGAGCGTGTCACGTGTTGCGGCTCTCCCAGGCCTCGGGACATGGAGTGCGACACGTTACGGCCTCCTGTGCGCCCCAAAGCCCCATCGGCACGGTGGCAGTACCTGCCGCAGGCAGCTGAACAATTTTGGGACCCAGACGGACCCTTAGACGGACTGAGCATCCCGGGGAACTTGCCGGCGACCTCGGGCGTGATGTAGCCCATCGTGGCCAGCATGCTGATGCGGCCATGCTTGATCTCAGTAGAGCGGCGCCTCCTGAACTTCTCGGCATCGCCGTCCTTCGTGAAGCCGATGGGGTCCCAGAAGCCCAAGGGTGCCTGCACGCCCAGCTCGCTCTCGAAGGCGCGCAGCGGCGAGTCCGTGTAGCTGGCCCAGTCGCCCCAGGCACTGCCGGTCAGGCCGTCTTGATAGAACATGCCGATGATCGCCATCATCGCCAGCCTTCCGTTGGCGATCTCCGCGTTCAGCTTCTTCGTCTTCGCCTCGCCCTGGAAGCCAGAGAGCAGAGGCGGCTTCCAGCCCACGTCGCCCGGCGTCTTCTCGCCGAACGCCACGTACTTTCCCTTCTCTGTCGCGGAGCCGTTCACGCTCGCAGACCGCTCGCAGAACCAGCAGTAGGCAATCATCTGCAACCAACCCTCCTGCGGCACCTTGGACAGGGCGGCCAGGCCGTTCGGGACGTCCTCGAAGGCGATGCCTGTGCTCACGGTGTGAAATATAATCGGACGCCACCAGTGGCCCCCTCGCTCCCTCCCCCACCTCCACCGCTGCCTCTTAGCCCCCCCTCTCCTGGGAGGGGCGGGGAAGCGGGTTACAGGAGGTCATGGCGATGCATCGGCCACCGTGTCCCCTAGCACGTCGAGGCGTGGTAGGATGACAAGTGCTGTCTGGCAGAGATTATGCGAGTGCTCTTTGGGATCCCCGCCCCTTCTTATCATAGACTGCAACAGATCCCTCTTGGTACGGCCTTCCCTACTCCTCCTCCTCCTCCTCCTCCTCCTTCACCTCCTCCTCATCATCATCATCATTTCCACAACCACCACCACCACCATCGTTCTCATGATCATCATCATCATCATCATCATCATCATCATCATCATCATCATCATCATCATCATCATCATCATCATCATCAAAATCATCATCATCATCCTCCTCCTCGTCGTCGTCATCGTTATCGTCATCGTCATCGTCATCATCGTCATCATCGTCATCATCGTCATCATCACCACCACAATCACCACCACGACCACCACCATCATCATCAACATCATCATCATCAGCATCAGCATCGTCGTCGTCAACAGCATCATCATCAGCATCAGCATCATCACCCTCATCCTCATCCTCGTCCTCGTCCTCATCATAGTCATCATCAGCATCAGCATCGTCATCACCATCATCATAATCAGCAGCATCGACATCAGCATCATCCTTATCGTCAGTACCACCTTCATCATCATCATCATCATCGTCATCATCACTGTAATCGTCATCAGTATCGACAACATCACCACAACCAGCACCACCAATATCATCATCATCATCATCATCATCATCAGCATCATCAGCATCATTATCATCATTGTCGGCAGCGGCAACATCACCATCATCACCAGAATCATGACCATCATCATCATCATCAGCAGCATCCTCGTCGTATTATTCGTTATCTTCATCGCCATCATTGCCATCATCGCCATCATTGCCATCATCATCAGCAGCATCAGCAGCATCAGCATCTTCATCACGATCATCGTCAGCATCATCATCAGCAGCAGCATCATCATCATGATCATCAGCACCATCAGCATCATCAGCAGCAGCATCACCATCACCATCACCACCACCATCATAACCAGCACCACCATCATCATCATACTCCGCCCCAACGCGGCCTCGCTGCAATCAAAGAAAGTCTCGGGACGGCCGAGGTGTCACATGTGACGGCCATCTAGGCGTTGCTCCAACCGTCGACACATAAGAGATGGGGCAGGAGGAAGGAGGAGAAATGGAAGAAGGTGGGGCAGGAGTAACGCGGAGAAGAAGGGAGCAGTAGGACTCCACGAGACCGACGCCAAGGACGAGGAGAAACACACCGACACGACGCGAAGAGCGGAAGAGCGTGTCACGTGTTACGGCTCCCCCAAGCCTCGGGACACGAGGTGCCACACGTTACGGCTTCCTACGAGCCCCACCCAGAGTGATAAGCCGGATACTTTTGGAACCCAGACGGACCCTTAGACGGACTGAGCATCCCAGGGAACTTGCCGG